CAGCAGTACGGGTAGGGAAGGAAGGGGTCCGAGGAAGCCGGGTGTCCCGAGACCTTCACAGCGAGGACAGCCGGGTTTCCCCCGGGCACCTGCCTGTGCATGGCCCCAGCTGCTCCTTTTTCTGTCCCTTCCGTCTCTGTCACCTGGGTTTGTTTATTTTTTTATTTCAAAACAAACTCTTTTGAGCCCAAATGACAACATTTCACGAGTCATGTAAACGATGCCCGACCTGTGGGCTGGCTGGTCCTTGCCTGCACACGGGACCCGTGAAGGCAGAGCTCCTCGTTCCAGCGGGGTGCGGGTCTGTGTTCTCCCCTCTGCTTGGCAGGTGTTTGCTGTGACAGGCTCTGGAGATGTGGCAGTCAGGTAGCCTGCTCCTTAGACTTAAAATGTAAGAAGTATTTGAAAATAACACCGCTTTTCTTTTTAGGTGGCAGGATCTAGCTGAGATCAGAGACTGCGGTGTGTAGCTGTGGTCATATGTATGAGTTTGTCTGTACTCTCGAGAGCCTCCCCTCTGCTTGGCAGGTGTTTGCTGTGACAGGCTCTGGAGATGTGGCAGTCAGGTAGCCTGCTCCTTAGACTTAAAATGTAAGAAGTATTTGAAAATAACACCGCTTTTCTTTTTAGGTGGCAGGATCTAGCTGAGATCAGAGACTGCGGTGTGTAGCTGTGGTCATATGTATGAGTTTGTCTGTACTCTCGAGAGCTTAAATTTAAGTTTTTATGCCAAATAATAATTAAAAAACCAAACAGAGCTGTTGTCCTTCTTGTCCAGACAGGCCACTTGGGCTCAGAGAAATGCAGTGACAGCTTTAGCCTCCTGCAGTCGATCTGTGGCATACCCTGGCACTGAACCTTTAGCCGCTGCCTGTCTGTTTAACCGTGGGATTATGTCTTGTTTTAGAGCCTCTGTTAGGTAGCACTGAGCCTTATCCCTGTTTCTGACACCAGGGAATTTTTTTTTTTTTTTAAATTGTTTTTCAAAACATGGCCTTGAATGCAGTTTAAAAGCTTGTGAACTTTGTGAGCTGAGAAGGAAGGACTGTCTTTGGTGATTGTTTTTGATGTACAACATAAGGTATTTTTCTCTGCTTTATCTCTGCTGCAGGATAGCTGCTTAGCACAAGCTGATTTGCCCTGTATGGCTCTTACGTACTTCAGAGTAACTGTGGCTGACACAGAATGAACGTGTATGTCCAGTTCCAAAATCTGTCTGAGAAAATAGATTGTACCCACTGTTTGCCTTTGATTAATGAAGTAGGAAAAATAGATAACATATAATCCTAACGCTGTTAATAAAGAGACTACCTGTGACACATGACTGTGATTAGGGGGATGTTGAAGACTTCAGGCTCAAAAGCAGAGAATTGTGGCATTTGTGCAGAGTTTTTGAATATATAGGCCACATTGCAGTTCTCTAGTCCCTTATAAATGTTTTGTGTAGATAAAATTACATAATTAACGCTATTTTTAGTGAAGTGATGATTTGAGCTTTCTGTTATATGTTTTCATACAAGCAGAGCAAGTGTTTTGTTAGTTGTAAACCACTCAAGATGAAACTAATTTGTGTATGATGGCAAGAAATTATGGTTTATTATTACATTTTTTGATTGTACAGGGTGAATGAGTTATATAGAACAAAACTTAATTTTATTTTTTTTACAACTTTGCCATCAGAAAAGATTGAAACAAGATTGTATATAAATTTTATGAAGAGTGAGAACCCTAACCTGACAGCAGGTTTTTAAAATTTAACTTAGTATATGGCAAGAAATAATTCTTCCCAGTGTTCTCTATGGTGGTGGGGGGAACCCTATCAAGCTTTCTCTTTTTTTCCTCTTTTTAAATTAATTGTAAACTTACAAAACATACATCAGGTTACAGATAGGGTTGCTGTAGAGGAAAGAGTAATAGTCATGTTCTGGATAATAGAAATTTCCATGATTCCATTGTTTGTGATGAATTAATATGTTTTTAGTTGAACTGGAAGGGTAGGTAATGGAAACTAAGAGGGAGAATTAATTTTGAGGACTTAAAAGGTCCTTTGGCAGCTGATGACAGAGGTGAATTGTAGGAGTGACAAAGGGGACTTAAAAACCAAATATGTGAAATTCATGAGGCAGTAGCTGGGGAATGGTAGAAATTGAGATTAGACAGAGGAAGATTTGTACATGTGCGACTCAGGACAAAGACTGGATTTTATCTTATTAGAAAAAAGAAAGAAAGGGAAAAAAAGAACCCAGCAGCTAGTAAAATTACGAAGCTGGCAAAACAGCATGTTTAGATCAGCAAACGAGACTTTAGCAGTGGGTTCTCTTTTTATTTAGTTGACTGTAGATAGAAAGTAGTAAATGCTGAAGGAAAGGGCAGGAGACCTAAAATACAGAATAGGAAATAGATGGTGTGTGAAAATATTATGAGTGGTGATGCACGGAGGTTATCTGTTAACTTAGTAAACAACTCTGAAAGGAATTCTTAATTCAAAAATAGTTTGAACACATTAATCAACTAATCCTCGTGATATTTTATGAAATAGGTGTCACGACAGGTAGTAAACACTGGAGGAGAGTGGAATTAATTTCTAAGATCTTGCAAGCAGTAAAATTTATCACAATTAAGAATATCTAATGAGTGCTGCTAGCTTATTTACCAACAGTTTTTGTAACCCAGATAAAATATAGGTCCAGTAACCAATCTTTATTCCTGCGGTCTTGCCTAGCTTGGGTTTGAACGGGTAATGTCATGGAAGTAATCCCTTTGGGTTTAGAGGAATTGTGTGTTGACAGCGAGTGTTGCAGGGCCCAAAGCCAGCCTGCTGAATCCTCTTGCACAGTAACTGAAATAGTTTGAAAATTGAGACATCAGAGCTTTTCACAGTAATGGAGATATTACACTAGAGCAGCTCTATTTTTTCTAATTTAGTTGATACACACTGTAAGCAATGTGTGAAGCTGCCAAACAAATACCATTTTCCATCCTTAGAGAAATAAAAACTAGGCACAATAGGACATATCACACAAGTTGCAGTAGGGATACTTTACAGAATAATTGTGAGCATTTAGAAGTGTTTCTGACTTCAATTGGCATATTTCTGTTTTTCATTTCTCTAAGGAAGTTGTAACTCTGCTGAAGCTTAAGGAAACTTCAATGTTACAGGCTTAAACAACTGCAGAAAACTCATCTTTATAGAAAACCCAAATCCTTATCTTGGAAAACTGCAGGTATTTTTGTCAGCTTCTAAATCATTCTGTTAATCAGACTTGCTCATGGCAAAATTAAATTTAAAAAGTGAATGTTTCTTTCCTTTTGCATTTCCTGAAGTTATCCATGAGGAGAATCGCTGCTGCTGCAAAATGAGGCTGTTACCCCATGATGGGAAAAAATACTGGGTTTAATTAATTTTTTAAAAATATTTTTACTTATGTCATGGTCATATCAGCTTCTTCTGAATATCTCGGCACATTATTGCTATGATGAGATCTGACTACATTTTTTTCTTGAAGGCGGCAAACAGAATCTTTGTTTCCATTATTCTTAGAAAGATACCAGAATTTTACCCTAAATATATGCACCGTGTCACTCATAAACATTAAATTATTTGCTTAACCATAAAGGGAAACACAGGCATATGGTACTTTTTTCTCTTTGGTCCTTCTCTTTCTAAATTCAATTGCTGCATATCTTCCCATGTCTGTCAAACTGGGATTTCTTTTGTTTTTGCATTGCCATTGCTTTCTTCCAACATGGTTCTTATTTTTTTGGTTGTTATTTGATTATATAGCAGATGTGGCTCTATTTTTCTTGGGGCGTGGGGCATTAAAGAGTTGAGCATAAATACTAGTTTGACACTTTGATCTTATTATGCTGTCTACACGGTGAATATCCCATGGGGTGAATATCGCCATCTCAGCCCTGGGGAGGATTGAGGGTAGAGTTTGTAGAAAGGCATCCACTGCATGGATTGTTCAGTGTCTGAGCCCTTTATGGTTCTTTCACCAGCCAGATGGTAAGAAATCCTGCATTTGAGCTTAACTTTGATGAGCTCACAGCTGCAGGAAAAAGTGGTTATCACGTATTTAGTGGTTACCGTATATCCTTAGATATTTGCTGAACCTAAGAAGTAACCTTATTCCTAAGAAAAAGGTTCTTCTAAAAATAAGTTACATTCACTAGAACAATTTAACTTGCTTTTTCTTTATAGAAAAAATATGCTGGGAATTTCTGCATCTCTACTTGCTAAATGGTGTTTGTCTGTTCACCTTTTACTCTTTCCAAAGAAGTTAATGACATGTCTCTTGCTTTTGTCTTTCAGATTTCCTTATGTGGTCAAGTAGATGCGTTTATTTCAGCCTTAAGTTTTCTGATGCCAGTGCTTGCTATGGCATCTGTGACTTCACCGGTTATATTTAAGGAGTTTTGTCCCTTATATTATCTTCTCAATGCCATTCCTACAAAGGTCCAAAAGGGCTTTCGCTCTATTGTGGTATACCTCACAGCACTTGATACCAATGGAGACTACATTGCCGTGGGGAGCAGCATTGGAATGCTTTATCTCTACTGTAGACATTTAAACCAGATGAAAAAATACAACTTTGAGGTAAATACTAACTTTGACTCTTGTCTCTTCCCATGAAGCTGAGTTGCTCAGAACTGGGCTGCTGTTTATCTCTCGTTAACTTTGTGAGTTTTATCTATGGTTTGTTTCAACAGGGGAAGTGTGAATCTATTACTTTTGTAAAGCTGTTGAGTTGTTTCGATGATCTAGTTGCTGTTGGTACTGCCTCGGGCCGGGTTGCAGTTTTTCAGCTTGTATCTTCATTACCTGGAAGAAACAAACAGGTAAATCTTTGCATTTGCTGAAGTTCTGTAAGGCTTAGTATGATGAATCCTAGTAGAGTGTTACTGTGATTCTTTACAATAGTGAAAACCAGAGAATTTTACCTGATGAAATATCTTTTAATATATTTTAGGCTTTCTATGTAAAACTTATAAAAGCAATAATCTCAAAGCATGCTTTTCATTACAAAAGATATATTTAATCAAAAGTGCTTTTGAGAAATTCCTCATTTGTAATAACTGGCTGAGCTATTTGGTGGTGAGGTTTTTTATTGTTTGTCTATTTTTATTTGTGCTAGATAAAAATTAGAATGACCTGCACTTCTGTATTCGATCTCTGATTTTATCAGTCAGTCGCTGAATAGGCTTTGTGTCTCATTTTGTCTTCCCCTCCTTGTTGTGCTTTGGTATTGTTTCGCAGCTACGGAGATTTGATGTTGCTGGTATCCACAAAAGTAGCATTACAGCTTTAACTTGGAGTCCCAATGGAATGAAGTTATTCTCTGGTGATGACAAAGGGAAGATTGTCTACTCTGCCCTAGACCTAGACCAGGTGAAGATTTATTATAGAGACCTTAATTCTCATTTACAGTTTTCTGAAAGAATGTTTGTGTGTTTAAATATTTAGCAGTTAGTTAATTGTGTAGCATCGTGTATTTAGTTGGGCTGCCTTATTGGTTTGCGTACACTCGGCCAAGCATGCACACACCCAGCAAGACAACCATTGAGTATCCTCCACAACTGCCTTGCCTTTTTAAAAAAAAAAAACGAAAAAAAAGAAAAAAAAAGTGGTGATCCTTCTCATTTTATCACATTTCTGTCTGAAATAAGCTTTCAGCCAGTACTTTCTCTTTTATTTGGAAAGTGTACTTTTGAATGATGTGACGTTGCTCATTCACTATATTGATGAAGTACTTTTTTCAGAATTGTTCAGCATCTCACTCTAGAGTATAGAATGAAAGTGATATTTGGGTATTACTGGGTGACTAGCGTGTTGCCAGTAAATGGAATTTTTCTAATGTCTATTAATTAATACAGACCTGGGACATCAACAAAATAAGTACTAACTTGAACTTCTATATGGGAGAAAAGTTTAAACAACGGCCATCCTGATTTACCTATGACTATCCCTTGTTTGATTTGACAAAAAGGTTTAACATCTCCAACCTAATGATTGTCTCAGCATTGTATGACCTGGCAGTGGAGAAGGAGGAAGGAAATGTGTCCTAGAGTTGCTACTGATTTTAAGTGAAATGCATTAGCTAATATTCCAAGAGAAATTGAATTTCATGGTGTGCCACTGTGGTAACACAACTCCCTTTTTGTATGCATAAAGGAACCCCACATTCATTAACTGAACTTCATGCAACAGTAGTTCAAAAGCTTTTGTTTGTTTATTTGTTTTGTCTTTCTTGGGCTTATTAATTTCTTTGAAGTGTTATTTACTACCTTGTATTTTTAGAAAGGTTGATTCTTGTTAATCCCATATATCTTTAATAGGGTATTTGCAACTCCAGCCTTGTATTGGAAGAGCCATCTTCGATTGTCCAGTTGGATTACAACCAGAAAGTGCTGCTTGTCTCTACTTTACAACGGACTCTACTTTTTTACACAGAAGAGAAATCTGTCAAGCAAGTTGGAACACAGCCCAGAAAAAAGTAACCCTCATAAAATTTTGATGCAGGCACATCTATTAATTCTAGCTTTTCAGAGTGGATTACAGGAAGAGTGATCTAAGCAGTGAAATTAATACAACACAGCAGTCCGCTCATAAAAAGTTAGTTACAGTAGCTATGTGTGCTCAAACGTGAAATGACAATTCTGCCTACTTAGAAAGTACCTAGTTGCAAATATGTTACCATCATATTTTCAGGGCACTATTATGCAAAAATATTTAAGATATTTTCTCATTGTTTAAACTGAAATCATTGCTAAAGTTCCCCTGCAGTCCCTCTTGGTTTACTGTGACTTGGTGTGAGCAAGAATTGTAATCAAGTCCTTTTAAAGGGTGACAGAATACCCGACGCAAAAAGCAAATCAGCGTCCCAGTTTTTCTTATACACTGAAGTGAATTAAAAGGGAAAATGTATAGCAAGGACTTAAAGTTGACTTGAAGGCTAGGAACTTCTTATATGGCCTTCTGGCATCTTCTGTTGTATAATCTCTCTCGGATATGAAGGAAGAGGGAAGCCAGTCTTAGAAGAGCATGACTGACTATCTGGAAATAGAGGAAATTGACTCTTGAAAGAAGATTTATAATATACCTTTCAGGGATGTGAATAGTAAGAGGAATACCAAGGACCATCTTATGTACAAGGGGTTTTCTTGGGTGATGGTAATGCATGAGAGATGAAGATTTTAACAGTTGAGGTCTGTTCCTGGCTTCTTGCAGGTAGAGGTTGTCAATTTTTTGGCATTATTTTGTAGTGTTTTGCTTGTTTTTTATAAATTCTGGGAGAAGGATGACTGCATAGTAGGATCTTTGAGGTGGACTCTATTTGGTTTGCATGGCAAGGTTTTGGTAGCTGAGGGACTACAAGGGTGGCTACTGTGAGAAGCTGCCAGAAGCTTCCCCTGTGTCAGACAGAGCGAATGCCAGCAGCTCCAAGACAGATCTGCTGCTGGCCAAGGCCGAGCCCATCAGCGACAGTGGTAGTGCCTCTGTGATAACATGTTTAAGAAAGGAAAAAAGTTGCTGCACAACAGCAATTGCAGCCGGAGAGAGGAGTGAGAAGATGTAAGAGAAACAACTCTGTAGACACCAAGGTCAGGGAAGAAGGAGGGGGAGGAGATGCTCCAGATGCCAGAGCAGAAATTTCTCTGCAGCCTGTGGTGAAGACCATGG